GGAATATATTCAACAGTAATCAGGATACCATACAATTCGGCGGTAAAAATAGTTGCTAGAGGGTTGAGTTGCCTAACTTAACTGTAAGCGAGAGAACAAACTGCACACCCTACGCAAGTCGACGTTTTCGAGCCATCAGTGTAAAAGTGGAGATAGTCACTATATTTCTGCCCTAGCTCTGCGAACTCCCGCAAGAGAACAAAAGGAGGAACAACCTTTTTGCTGTACCTTGAAAGGGACCAATCGTAAGAGATTGGCACCAAGTCCCAAGGAACAACCCTATAGGCCTGTCTCAACAAGGGAGGCTCATCAAAAGAAAGGTGCAGCGACCTTGCTATGCTCTCAGTCCGAAGGCTCAAGGGCCAAACAATACTAGGCTTATTCTCAAAAAGCCGCAGTGATGCAGAGGTCCGCAGAGCGGAGAATGAAGGTTGGTACGGATCCCTATAAACTTTGTAGGCATAACACAGACTAAGATATTGTTTGCGTCGCTCAAGCGACATCTGATGCGTTTAAGCATACAGAGTCAGCACGGGCGACGTGCGAAAAGCACCTGTGGCTAGACGCAGCCCCAAGTGTTGGATTGGGTCTAACATCCTCAAAGCAGATGGTCGTGCCGACGCATATACCGGTGCACCGTAATCCAACCGGGACCGCACTAGAGTTATAAATTCGCAGCAGACATTGTCTGTCAGGCCCCCGAGTAGTGTGTGACAGCACCTTAAGAATATTGGAAGATAGTAGGCATTTTTGTTTTAGTTCTTTCAAGTGAGGTACGAATGTTAGCTTTTTGTCGAATATCACGCCTAGAAACTTATGCGCCTCCTTTACAGCGATGGTAAGGTTATTCAGATGCAAGGTAGTACCCGGTGACAACCAGACTTGTACGTAATCCGTTACAAGTAACGAAATTACTTGTAATCCCTTACATTTATCAGTAATTTAGTAACGAAATAATTACATATTTTCTGATGTAATTTTAAAGTAATTCCCTTACATTTTTTACGTAACGGATTTCTTTTAATCCGTTACTTTTTTATTGAAGACCCCCCCCCCCCCCACTTTTTTTTTTTCTAAAGGAAGGGTTGTTTTTATTTTGGTAAAGTCGAGCTCAGTGACACTCTCACGCGCAAAGCGAGGCTTGGCACCCTTCAGTTCCGCAAAACCATTTTTGTTTTCAACACCAAGCCCCTAAATTTATATTTGTTTAGACCCTAACAACAATGTAAAAAAAAAAAAGAAATAAAAAACATTTTTACACAAAAAAGGGGGGGGGGGGAGTGGGGTCAAGTTATATCCGCTTTTTTTAGACCCTTTGTTTTTTTCTTTGCTATCGAAGGCGGGAAGAGGACACCAAGTGGGTGTATGCCTCTTTGAAAAAGCTCGAGGCGGTAAGTGCACAGACAAGAATTAACAATGTCCTTCTCGGTTTTGAGTGACTACGACCATTTTCATTATGTTACAACACCAGACAATGCTCCGTATACCCTAAAATTCACTAAAAAGAGATGTGATATTTATTATTATTTATTTACATTGTACCTACATCGCCCTGTGGGCATTATTGTAGGGGGGTTTTAGAAAACATTATAACAAGTGGAAAAAGAAAACGTCATTATCATCAATGGACACAACATCTTCCGGGAGATCGTTCCACTCTCTCGCGGTTTTGACAAAAAATGAATTCGCAAAACTGTCAGTCCTGTAAGTGGGAACAGCAACCTTTTTAGAATTATCACAACGGGTAGAAACGTAGGATGGCTCCATAAGATAAGTGGCTTTATCAATTCCTGTTTTGTTGTGAAAGACACGGTGGAAAAATTTTAGTCTTATTTTTTTTTCGTCTACATTCGAGTGTTTCCCATCCCAGCAAGGCCTTCATATCTGTAACACTAGCATAAGGGTCATAGTTGTTCAGTACAAAACGCGCGGCCTGATTTTGAATTTTTTCTAGTTTATTGATAAGGAAGTCGTGATAAGGGTCCCACACAACGCACGCGTAATCAAGGATCGTTCTTACCAAAGAAAAATAAAGTGTTTCTTTGACGTTTCGCGACGCGGATCTAAAATTTCGACGGATAAAATAAAACATTTTACTAGCCTTTCCGATTGTACGTTCTATATGGCTGTTCCATTTTAGGGAATCCGCAAATAGCACTCCTAGGTAAACATACTCAAACACAGTACATAAAACAGTCCCGTTGATTAGGTAGCTATAAGAATCGTGCAGCTTACTTCTCGAGAAACGAATATGTTTGCATTTACTTAAATTTAGGCTCATTTTCATTGATTGCACCAAGAAGATAAAATATTTATGTCGGTTTGTAACATGGCCAGGTCGTCTGACGTGTTTATTTCCCTGTACAATACGCAGTCGTCGGCGAACAGTTTAATATGAGACTGTATGTTTTCGGTGATATCATTTATGTATATGAGAAAAGGTAAAGGCCCTAAGACACTCCCTTGTGGCACTCCCGACGTAACCCGAGTTGATGTGGATATAGTACCGTTTAAAACAACCCGCTGCTCACGACCTTCTAAATAATTTTGTATCCAATTCAGGACGTTGGGATCTATGTTTAGCAAAGCCAATTTATACAATAATAACTGATGGGGGACCGTGTCAAATGCCTTTCGAAAGTCTAAGAACACGCAGTCGATATATTTCCTGCTGTCTAGTGATCTGGATATATGATGATAAAATTCTACCAGCTGTGTGTTGCAAGAGTAGCCGCTTCGAAAACCATGCTGTGAGGGTGAAAAAAAGTGTAATGAATCCAGGAACGAGTAAAGGTTACTGTAAATAATGTGTTCAAACAACTTACATGAGATCGATGTCAATGAAATAGGGCGATAATTTTCAACACTGGCTTTAGAACCCGATTTAAAAACTGGTGTAACGTTTGCCATCTTCCAATCCATTGGAACCATCCCCGTCTTTAACGTTTCACTAAATATAACAAAAAGATAACGCGCTATGGATTCACTGCACTTAAGAAAAATAACAGGGGAAATGCCATCAGGTCCGACAGCCTTGGTTGCATCAATTCCGCGCAGCAACTTCACTATACCATTCATGTCAATTGTAATGCTGGGCATTACGCTTTGCTGCGTTCGGCAAGCCACTGGAGATAGCAGATGCGGAGAGTCTTCCGAAAATACCGACTTAAAATACGAGTTAAAGCATTCAACCTTCGCGTTATCAGACACCACAGTATTACCATCAACTTTCAACGCAGGAATAGAAGTGTCTTCCTTTCTGTTCGCGTTGACGAACTTCCAGAATTCTTTAGGGTTTCTTTTTAGATTTTCGTTAAACTTGTCAAAGAACACTTTTTTGCTTAATTTTATTTGCAATTTGAGAAGCCTGTTAATCTCTTTGTACTTCTGCTCAGTTTGGACTGACCAACTTTTGGTCAGCGTTTTGTAAGCACGTCTCGCTTTACCTATAATTCTGCGAATTTCTACATTAAACCAAGGCTTATTTTTTTTACGCTTCCTCATTTGTTTCGATGGAATATACACCTCCGCAAGCTCTAATATTTTATTTCTAAAAGCATGCCATATAGTTTCGACGTCACTATTTTCGGACAGACGACTAAATGTATAAAAATAGGATTCAAGCTCTGCATCGATCGCTTCGTAATTACCTTTGTCGTACAAAAATACTTTCCGTGGACACTCCGCTTGCTTTCGCGTTCCGGGCTCCGAGAGCTTAGCAACAACCGCGCAGTGATCACTTATGCCGGGAAGTACAGTGACCTCGGATACAACGCCAGGAAAATTGCATAAAATTAAATCCAAGACAGAATTTTCTCGCGTCGGTTTTTTAACATATTGTTCAAATCCAAATACACTGATTATGTCAGCAAACATCGAGTAAGCGCGGGGTCCATCTGTATCAAGAACTTCATCAGACCAGTTGAACCCTGGTAGATTAAAGTCTCCTCCCAAGAATACACTATCTGGAATTGTCGTCAACAAGTCACCCAATTTGTCTATCGAGTACGCATCACTATCTGGGGGGCGATAAAATGTACCAAAAACTAAAGTGGTCCCCTTAGGTAAAACTACTCGACACCATACAGACTCAGTGTCGTTTTCGGAAAAAACTAGTTCACTACTACTCCAGTCTGATTAAATTAGCAAACAGACACCACCTCCGTGTCCATTTCTATCTTTGCGGTATACGGAAAAACCAGGGGGAAAAACTTCGCAATTAGAAACCGAGTCATGCAGCCATGTCTCCGTTCCCATAATAACTTTGGGTCTGATTGTCTCGACTAGAGATAAGAAATCGTCCACTTTATTTTTTATGCTACGGAAGTTCACAAGTAATACCGAGACATCTACATCTGATAAAGCGGCATTTTGACAGATATCTCTCGCACGGCGTCAATCCTGCTGAATCGGTGGAGCCTTTTTACGAACGAGTATAGGCATGCTTTGTTCGAAATCCCAGGCGTACGTGTCTCCGTTGATAACGAGCTTGTCGTAGGTAAGATATACTTTGTTGTTCTTATCTTGTCGTTTTTCTTTGGAATAGTCCCATAGCTTGCGCCTTTTCTCTCTGCCCCAAGACGTGCAGGAGAGCCTGACTGTGGAGCAAGCGGGAACATTGTTGTTCGATTGTGCAGGTTAATCCCAAGAGGAGTCCACCACAAAGTGTATTTCGATAACTACTTCAACTGTCCAACCCTTCAGGTGTACCTGGAAAAAGAAACCGTGCACTGCATTGGTACAGTCCGGATCAACCGAGTAACGGGTATCAGCATGCCATCTGACAAGGAAATGAAACAGAAAGGAAGGGGAAGCTTTGAAGAGAAGGTAGCGACCCTGGATGGCATTCAGCTGTCGTGTACAAGGTGGCAAGACAACAGAGCCGTCACCTTGCTGTCCACCTTTGTTGGGGCAGAGCCTGTCCTAACTGCGCCAAGGTGGAGCCAAAAAGAAAAGGAGAGGCGCGACATACCGTGTCCGTCGGTGATAGGCGCTTATAACAAGCATATGGGAGGAGTGGATCTCTTAGACTCTCTGATCTCCCTCTACCGCGCCCATCTCCGATCGAAGAAATGGTACTTTCGTATTTTTCTTCATATTCTCGACTTGACGGCTGTAAATGCCTGGCTGCTGTACAGGAGGAGTGCCGAGACTACTTCCGATCAACCAACACGAAAGCTCATGCCATTAGCAGAGTTCAAGGTGGACCTCGCCACGTCACTCTGCAAAGCAGGAAAAAATCAACTGAAGAAAAGGGGAAGGCCCAGCAATGAGTCCGTGGAGCAAGGCATCCAGCTGAAGAAGACAAGAGGTCCTTCAGCACCGTGTCCACCTCAAGATGTCAGGATTGATCAGGTATTATCACTGGCGAATTAATCTGTGTTACAAACCTCACTGTTCATACTTCTATGCTCAGGTTGGCCACTGGGTGCTTTGGAGTCAGAAGCGACAGCGTTGCAAGTTTCCTGGATGCAAGGGCATTTGTATGAGCTACTGCTCTAAGTGTGGCACTCACCTGTGCTCAACAAGCAAGAATAACTGCTTTCTTTTGTATCACACAGGCAAATGAGGCCACATCTCTCACTGATGTCTGTAAATACAAGTTTGGCTCTGGTTCACAAATTTTTAGCATTCGGCTATAAATATTTCGTTATTTCCATCTTGTTGCAAATATGCAACATACCTATCTTTTTTCGATATAAATTTTTCCGAAACTTTGAAATTTATTTTAGTGATAGTATTGTGATAACTGTGGTATTCTACTTCTGCTGGAATAAAATTGTGAAAAAATAAAAAGTTGTGCAGTAAAGGGTTAAGCCACTCGTCGACGCTTGCCGTCTGTGTTTTCTCCAAGACTTCAACACGTACAGCTGTTATTGGCCTCTTCGCCCAGCTGCCCGCCACGGCCCAGTACGTGCTGAGCGCCCCAGGCTCCGCCTGGGTGCGAAACGGGTGCGACGACAATGATGTCGAGGCCAATCCAGGTCCGGTTCGCACCCCGTTGAGCATGTCTGGGGTCGCTGCCGACTGTGGCTACTCAGACTGCTTTCCTCAGAATTTCCAGCAGCGGTCGTATGCACAATTTAATGCGGAGGAAGCGTGGTGTGCCAACATAAAAATAGCTTTTTTGTTGTTGTTAGTGTACTGCAGTGATTTTACCAGTTTACATGTGGTTCTCAACAAATTCCGCTTTTTGTGTGAGTCCTTGCAACGAGACATTAGTTTTTATTTTTGCTAACATATCCATGTATGAATGTGTGCGTTCTACGCACTGATTATACTCATCAACTTAAAAAAGCTAGTTTTGCACATAATTCATGCGCTGTACGATGTAGTTCTGCCATATACAGCTGCTACAAAACAGAAAAACACAGTTCTTTTGCATCAGCACCTTCATTACACTGCTCAACAATAGCTTGCCATATTTTCCAAGGTCGATCTGGTAAGTCCTAGCACCAATACCAGACAAGCCATTGGTAATTCAAAAGGAGCCTAACAATGCCTTTCGGTTTGCGAGTTCGTGTGCATGCCATTCAGAGTGAAAAGCACTCCGACGAACTTTCCGTGATCTGTGGACCAGGTGTAACAAGGACTTCCATTCCGTTATGCCTACATTCACCATATTCTCGTTGTACTGATGGCATCTTCATATTCTAGTAGCTCTTTTTAAGCTGAGTGTCGTCATGCACTCCACAAAAAGAAGAGGTGCAGCAGATTAGTAACCATCCGAATGTTTAGCTACTTACCTACAGACTTATTTTTAATGTTGAAGCAGATTACAGTCATGCTGAGATGCTGGGACAAGAAGTTAACTGGACAAGCTCTCCGAGCACTTACTCTCAACGCTCTTCATACAACTCAACTTCTGATGCCATGCTTCAACATGCATAAACCCTGTCCTAGAAAAAGAAATCTCTAAGGTGCCAATTTCCCGCACAGCTGGATCCGAACCGCAGCAGAACACCCTTTAGTCCAGGGTACCGTCCTAGGTCATACCGTTACTGCTGTGGCCGAGGATCAGTTGTAACCATGGTGCCACCTGCTCAGCGACCATGGTGAGGGATACAAGGATTCAGCGTCTGGCTGCTCCTCTTCAAGTGTCATCGTTTTGCACGCCATCTTACACTGATGACAAGTTTCCATATCAAAGTCATATAAAGACCTGATTGTCTCCTTAGTTAGGAATGCCAAGAGTGCAGAAACTTGTTCCAGTTGGGGAGAAAGAGAGGAAGCAGCCAGCACTTGGTTGTATGGGCTTCTGCCTTTTGGCTGCCTCAGGCACTCGGCTGTGTGGAAGTTGTGCCATTAAACACCTTGAACCTTGAACCTTACTGCATATGAACAATTTATTGATTACAGTGTGACTGCTGGAGATAATTTTTGCTCACTAAACAAGGGAAACTGCTGTTCTTGCAGCTCCTGCCTTGGAGCTAATCAAAACCCTCATGATCTTGAAGGACTTCGCAACTTGTCTTGTCGAGGAATTATGGTATGGAACTTCTGCCGATCTCTTAAGACCCCAGCTCTCAACAGAACTTTCTTTGCTTTCCGATGGGGGAGTAGACAGGGGCGGGGAGCCACTGCCGCCCTTGTTGCCTTCATAAAACTAACACGCCTGTTTAGCAGGAGGCTCCAGCGGTTCTGACATAAATATATAATCTTCAATTTGATGAACACACACAAAGCATCACAAAATGCTGGCAGAGCAGTTTTCAACAGATGAAGCCATGTAGAAACTCAACTTATTGGGCAAACTTCACCTCAGCATTACTGGACATACTGAAGGATGCGCTCTGGCACATAATGCGCGTGCCCACACCTGCCTTCAGAGTGGTGCAACCAGTCCATGCCACATGCAAATCAGAAATTCAGAGCCCACATCTATTGTGCACATGCATGATGGAGTGGTGCATGTGAGCAGCTCACTAGCTATCTAGTAGTTTCAGTTATGGCACAGCTTGGGCTCGCCACGATGCGTGCTTTGTTTTGGAATGTGGCACTTTTTTCAATTTTTTTAACACTGACTAATCGAAGCTGTATGTTCTTGGTTGGGGTACTGTTATATTTATTTTGCTTCTTTTTTTTTTTGAGTTTGTGAATTTCAGTAGGTACAGTTTTTTTTTATATTATTAAGGTTTGATGGTACTTTATAGTAAATTAGCTTCATGTAGAGCTGTAATTACAATATTTAATCAATGGTGTCCCCAAACTTAGAGGTTACCTGCATTTGCTAACTTCTAAAGTTGTGAAATAAACTATGATATACGGTAGTCAGCATTGAAATACAATAGGTTGCTCAAACTAATTAAATATTAAGAACGTTCCTAACATATTGTATACCAATTGGACGAATGCCCCCCGATATCCCCCGAATGTCTCCGATGTCGGAGGCCCCAATCTAAAAATTGGGGGCCTCCGATATCGAAGACATCTGATCTGTGGGAGAAGGGTCGGAGAAGGACGTTCCAGAGAAATCCTGGACGCACTTGAGGTAGCGTCGTATATCTACGCGAATTACGGTTTAGAACAGTTGTTGCTCGTGAGGCTGCTTTGTTCTTATCCGTTCGTGGTTGAGTCTCAGAGAGAGGACATTGAATAAGTTTTTAAGAACTCCCATGTTCTCTTTCAAATCTCTTCTCAAAAGGCAGTATGGCCTCATTCTCCGTGGGAAGGGGAATGCCGTCGAACTTAGAACAGTGGAGGGCCGAGATGCGGCCAGGCTTGACGATGACCCGTTTGCTACTGTCATGTGGGCTGTCCGGCACCGTCTGGTAGAGTCCACGCGTATTAGCACTCGGCGCTTTCCACTGACTCCCCTTTGCACCAACAATCTGACTGGCATCATAGACCTGCAAGGATCATGGGAAGATGATCTGTTTGCTAAGCGTGTCGAGGCACTTGAGGCAGAGCAGGACCCGCTCATCAGGGACCTGCTGGAGGCCAGAGCGGCTTGGGTTGCCGACCCGAGCCTCATTAACCCTATGGCCTTGTCCACCACTATAACTCGTGCCTTTGGCACTCACAGAGTGCGTCGTGTCTTTCCGGATCTACCAGACCCAGTCCTGGCCGATATCTCGGTTGACGACTTCTTTGCTGGCAAACGCGGGTCCGTGACGCTGCCAGACATTGGGGAGGCCAAGGAAGGTCTTCGCGCGACCTTGTCGGCAGTGGCCACGCAGCGGGGTCTGGCAGTGACGTGGAAGGGAGATCAACTTGAGGTGGTCGGGACCTTCGACTTGTTTAAATGTATCAACGGTCCCACCGTTGACATACCAGACTTCCCGGCCGAGTGGGTACAGCAGACTCGACGTCATAGCGAGACTGTCGGAGTCTCGCGGTCGAGAGGAGCCCTAAGCCGCCGCCGCGGGCCCCATTCGTTTGGGACCCGTTGCTCCGGCTGGTGCAGACGGCGGGGAAACATCAGGAGGGGGGCTGCCCGATCCTGCCCTTGTCGTTCAATGTCAGGGATCTTGTCGCCGAAGATCATAACTCGCTCTCTCTGGCGGAGAGCCTCAAATTCCGAGGAGGCGAAGACGGTGAGGCCGCCTGGCTGGCTCTCCCGAAGAGCAGAAGGAGAAGTTTTCAAAGGCGTTTCCGATGGGCTATTCCCGGACGGCTGAGGAGGTGGCCCTAGCTGCCATGGCCTGCCTTAAGCGGATCGGGGGCAATATCATACCCCCCGATCTCCTCGTGCCTGTCACTCCTGGCCCAGCGGGGTGCTTGGTCCCTTCGTATGTCGGTGTGGACCAAGAGGGTCGGCGGATAGTCGGCCGGACACCGGGATGGGGTTGGGGGCGATGGCGCGGCCGCGCCGGTGTCTAGGTGAACGAAGGAAGTCGGGCCCAAGGTAGCCATACGTGGTGCGCGTCGGGCTGTCCGGGGGGCCTTGCTGAGAGGGGGTTCGCGGAGAGCAGGTTTAGCCTGGTGGCCTTCGTTGACCTAGCCAGAGGGGAGACTAACCGTCACGTGCCCGGGGCGTCCCCGGCCGTAGCACCCGCCGTTCATATAAAGCTAACGCTGCCTGGTCGGAGTTCGGGTGTGAAAGCCGGTGTCGCTTCGGCCGCATTCGGAGCCCCCCTATGTCCTTATCCATGGATGCGACCTCACGCCTTCAAAACTGAAAACCGGACATGATCTCAAGTTTCAAGTTAAGAACTTCCATTCATCCTACCCCTAAGGCTAGTCTATATAGAGCTTTGACTTTCATCGCTATGGGCAGGAGCCAGCTGAGTTTGTATTGCTTGGAAGGTGGAGGGGTGATGTGCTAGGGAGCTAAACCCCGTCCCTGTCTCCCATATTGTCTGCTATAATAGTTTAAAATGTCACTCAGAGAGAAGCGGGAGGGCGAGGCAATTGCCCCCCTTGCCTTGCCCTCTTCTTCCGATGCCACTAATAGGGTATGCAAACTTGGGGATTCCCTGCCATAAATAAATGCAACCCCTTATGGCTGCCACTGCATACAAAGGAAAAAAAGAGAGATGTGGTTCATTTTTCTCTTAGATGTTCATATCAGAGGGGATACAAACAGTCGTGGGTAGTTGCGGCTGAGTGAGCCAGCAGTGAGTGCTG